GAACAGGAAATATTCAGTTGCTACTTTCTATTTGTATATTTACTTGTTATCAATCTTGATGAGCAGAAATAATATGAAGGGAGAATCTTCCTTGATTCTGATGATCTTTGTTCTGAGGTCTAAAGTTTTCTGAAATTATTGTACATACTTGATTTTTTACCTATTTGGTTTTATCTTGCTGTGCATTTCACTCTGTTTTGTATATTGGAGGTGTACACATTTATTTGTGCTCAAAGATTCTGGGTTTTCAACAGGAGAACTATTAGATGCTGGTGTAAACCGTAGTCCCAGTGCCTATCTCAATAATCCTGTGTCAGAGCGGAGCAAATATAAATATGATGTTGATAAAGAAATGACCCTTTTAAAGTTTGTAGACAACCAGTGGGGTCCAGTGGGTAGCTTCAACTGGTTTGCAACTCATGGAACATCAATGAGTCGTACAAACTCACTGATCAGTGGGGATAATAAGGGCGCAGCAGCACGATTTATGGAAGACTGGTTTGAGCGGAATGGCGTTAAAAGTTCACAAATTAATGAATTGGTCGCTGATGGAATACCTCGAAGAGTCTCAAACATCATCCCCAACATTCAGGATAATCGTAAGTTTTGTGCTTTCAATTTCTGTCACTGAATTAATTTGAAAAATATGTACAAAGAGCAATTGGAAAAATAGCATCATTACTTGATATTATCTTTAGTCTATAACATAAATTAGTCGTCAGATCCATACTATGTAGTTGGAACTCCTTGATATGCTGGGTCCATGCAATATTTCTTTTAATATCCTTTTGATGTAGACCATGAGTTGCTGGAGCTTGCTGCATCCTTCCAGTCTCGTCCTGGTAGGCCTGCAACCAGGACTCTGAGTGTTGCTAGACGTGTCAGGGGTGCTCTTAGACAGGCTGATAAGCCTGGATTTGTGTCTGCATTTTGCCAAACAAATTGCGGTGATGTTAGTCCCAATGTACTTGGTGCATTTTGCATTGACACTGGTCTTCCTTGTGACTTCAATCATAGTACCTGTGGTGGAAAGAATGAACTATGCTATGGCCGAGGACCAGGGTACTATTCCTCTTCCTGCTATGCACTTTTTTCTCATGCCATACATATATATTGTGTCAGAAGACTAAAATGCATTGTGTGTTTCACTTGGAAGCTATCCTGATGAATTTGAAAGTACACGTATTATTGGAGAGAGACAATTCAGAAAAGCTGTGGATCTGTTTAACAAAGCATCTGAGCAATTAAAAGGAAAGGTTGATTATCGCCACACTTACCTAGACTTTTCCCAGCTTGAGGTAACACTTCCTAAAGAAGGAGGAGGTTCTGAGGTAGTTAAAACATGTCCTGCTGCAATGGGATTTGCATTTGCTGCAGGAACAACTGATGGACCTGGGGCATTTGATTTTAAGCAAGGAGATAACAAGGTGATCTAAGACTGCACTCATCATATGTGCACATTTTCGTTTTTTGTGCCATATGCTTGTCTGCTTTTTATGATTAATGTTGTTGCGATGTTATATCAGGGAAATCCTTTCTGGAGGCTTGTGCGCAACTTACTTAAAACTCCAGATAAAAAACAAGTTGATTGCCAGCACCCAAAGCCCATTTTGCTAGATACTGGTGAAATGAAGCAACCATATGATTGGGCGGTAAGTTGCAACTATATCTTAGGAGACGTAAAAGTCGAACTGAGTCTTCATAGAGTGAAAGTCATGCCATAACATGAGCTTTACTTGGATGCTTGATAAATGATTTCAATCATTTGATCCGTAGACTCCTTTAATGACATATTATCTTCTGTTATTTCTAAGTAGTCTTAATTTTCTCAAATAAAAAATGCTTGCGACTCCTTTTCCGCTAAAATGAGTTAACTGATGATATGCTTGTTCATGATCATGGCAGCCTTCAATACTTCCAATCCAGATCCTTCGGATAGGGCAGCTAGTCATTCTCAGTGTACCTGGAGGTAGTAGCTTTTTTCCTTTTGTATCTTAACTTTTCAGTTTGCATTGAATATTACTCCTTTCATTTCTTAATCATCACATCTTGCACTACCATGTGTTGAGGTTACCTTCTGAGTACTATATTTCTTTGTTCACTCTATGCAATGATAACCATGGATTCTCACCATTTTGATTCAAGCAGAATTTACAACAATGTCTGGAAGGCGTCTTTGTGATGCTGTGAAGGCAGTGCTTACAAGCAGTGGTAATGGAGAATTTGGTAGTAACATTCATGTTGTTGTAGCTGGGTTGACTAATACATATTCACAGTATGTTACAACCTTGGAGGAGTACCAGGTGCAGAGATATGAGGTCAGTGCCAAATAGACAAAACTTGTGTGGATAATTATCCAAATATTGCCAATTATTGGCTATAAAAAACAACCAAGTGATAATTTACAATATTTTTTATTTGCAGCTTTCCTCTCACTTCAGTAAGCTTGTTGATTAACCATAATTGACTACTTGACAGTTTCCTTGCTTAAATGGAGAGTTTAGGCCTTGAACTTGCGACGATATGGCTTGTGCCACACATAAAATTGGCATTGAATCACCAAATATTTTGTTTATTATGTGTTGTATCTTTACTCTCTACAATTTGTTCCTTAGTTTATAGAGTAGTGGCCAGTTTCACCGTTTGAGTCGAGAGCTTTAGAACTTGAACTTACTATAGCTTGTGCCATTCATGAATTGGCATTGAATTCGCATCTAGTTTCTTCTGTTATGGCTATTTGGTCATACATACACATGCGTATTAAGAACATGTGAACATTTGGAATGGTGTCATTTCACATGCGTATTAAGTTTTCTTTTTCGTTTGTTTCCTAGGGTGCCTCCACGCTTTATGGTCCACACACACTCAGTGCCTACATTCAGGAGTTCCAGAAGCTTGCAAGTGCTCTTATCAAAGGCCAACCAGTTGAACCTGGACCCCAACCTCCAAATCTTCTAACGAAGCAAATAAGCTTACTCACTCCTGTTGTAATGGACTCTACCCCTGCTGGTATAAATTTTGGGGATGTCAGCTCCGATGTTCCTGCTAACTCAACCTTCAAGAGAGGTAGCAATGTGACTGTTGTCTTCTGGTCAGCTTGCCCCAGGAATGATCTCTTGACAGAAGGTACATTCGCCCTTGTTGAGATACTCCAAGGAAAGGATACATGGATCCCAACTTACGATGATGATGATTTCTGCCTTCGCTTTATATGGTCAAGACCTTCGAAGCTAAGTCCCCGAAGTCAGGCAACCATTGAATGGACGATTCCTCAATCTGCCTTGCCAGGAGTATACAGAATAAGACATTTCGGTGCTGCAAAGGGGCTTATGGGATCAATCCGGCATTTCACTGGTTCATCGAGTGCTTTCGTGGTAGCTTGAGAAAAATGCACAGGCTATTTGTATGCATATGGCACCTTCAAAGTTTAATTATTTGCTCTATGTATGTAATGAGTAGCCAAAATGTTATGTTACTTTTAACACGGTAAATCCAAAAATGTACCTGTAATGCTGAACTCATGTCGCTTATTTGATTTCCAGTGCAAAAGATGAAAATTCCTCACATCTCATTCTCTGTTACCGATAGATCGGTTACAATTGAACTGTAATTCAGAAGAATATCACTTTTCCCAGCATAAGTTTTAGATTGAGCTCAGTTTCAGCTGAAGACCGTTCTGCTGAACCATTTCAGTTTTTTACTTAATCTACCAGCGAAAGATGAAAAGTCTTGTGTAGGTGTGGAAATAATACATAAGTGTTTTTAGTTCGATTTGAATAAAATTTGAATTCAATTCGATCATTGTTAACTTGAGCTTGAACTTTAACAATTCAATTTATTGAGTAAGTCGAGTTTAAGTATCATAATATCCGATTCAAATAGTTTACGAGTTTAATCGAATTTTTATATTTTAATTAAAAAATTATTATTTTACTCATATATATTTATTAATTTAAGTTTAAATTCGAATTGGAATACAAATAATCGAATTTAAAGTTGAGTATAAAAATTAAGTTTTTTTTTATTTGATAAATGAATTTAATCGAGCGAATTCAAATAATTTAATTTTTATCTCAAGTTGAGTTTGAACTTGAAAATAAAAAATCAATCGAGTTCAAATCAAGTTTTAAATAATAAATTTCAAGTCAATCTCGAACTCGAAATTTTTATTATATTGACTCAATTTGATTCGATTTTATTGATATCTTGACCCAACAAATGATAATCTCAAAAGGAGTGTCACGGTCCACACTAACTTATGAGATATTATCTGATTTGATTATTTTGAGCTCACGATTTTATCCTATAAACTTATATTTCAATATCAATTCTAGTACATAATCGATGTGAAATTTATATTGAAAAATAAAAATTTTTCTCTTTTTTTTATATAAAAAAGTAAATAAAAAAATATTCGAAGTGGATTGCTCGACCCGTGAAATGAAAAAATATACTCTGGAGTTTTTCTTTTTGTTTTATATTCATATGAAGGAAATATGAGAAAGAAAACAATAAAATAAATAATATATATATATCATACTATAATAATTTAATACACATAAAAATTAGAAGAATATAAAAAAATATTGATTTTTATCAATCTCACTGACAAGATCCAAAAATAAAGTTAGTTGACGGAGAGAGAGATTCATGATTCCTCTCTAGGACCATAACATCTTCTATAACATCCTCCTTAACTCTGTCTTCGGTAATACATTGCTGATGTCACAATCCAACACTAACTTGTGATGTTTTGGCCTAGTTGATTTTATCATACAAAAAATACCTTATAAATTAAAAGTAATGTGAGCTTTATGTTTTAAGATCAATTCTAGTACATTATTAATGTGGGATTCATAGCTCATCTCTAAGATCATAGTAGGGATCCTGTGTTATTTAACTGGGCCTGGGCCTATGTCAGAGTTTACTCAAAGCATGAAACGGGCTGAACACTGAGATCCATTCCACCAACAATACCTCCATGTGGACCCTATCGGCCCAAACAACAACTCTCCCAAAAAAATAAAGAAAAAAAATGGCTCTCTGAAAACCGGAATTGGGTTATTGGACGAAGCGGAAAAAGATGGGAAGACGAGAACGACTGTGAAAGAGAGAGGTGTTTTTCAAAGGTAGAAAATTCAAATGACAGGACAGTGATTGAGCTAAGCTTTCGATTGTTTAGAAATCAAGTGGAGCTGAGATCTCTTGTGAAATTCGAATATCTAAAAACTGTGAAGATTTTGGGGTAGAAAATCAAAGCATCTCCGTCAGACCTTTGCCACTGCACCGCACCAATTTCGCCGTCGAAAGGGGAATTTAGAAGAAAAATGTCGGTGCAAGAGTACCTTGACAAGCACGTGCTCTCTCGCAAGATCGAAGACGCCGTGAATGCCGCCGTCCGAGCTAAAACTCCCGATCCGGTCCTCTTCATTGTAATTCTCTCTCTCTCTTTCTATGCAAAATTTCGATTTGCTTCACTTTTCGTTTTGACGATGATTTAAAAAAAAATGAAATTGCAGTCTAGTCATATGAAAAAAGCGGTTCCTTCAGTGATAACGAAAGTAAAAGCTCGGCAGATTCTCGATAGCAGAGGAATTCCTACTGTTGAAGTTGATTTGTTCACTAACAAAGGAATGTTCCGTGCTTCTGTGCCTAGCGGTGACTCCACCGGAATGTAACTATTTTTTTCTCTTTTTTCTTCGTTTGAATTTTCTTATTTCTTGTTTTGTTTGTTTGCTGATGCAATGAAAATTATGACCTTTAGAATTACATTTTATGTTTTCATTTATTATAAATGAATCAAAATTTTCCTTTATGTTGAGAATTTGAATCAAAATTATTTAGTTTTGCAGATAAAAAGAAAAAAAGTGAGAAACAACTGAAAGGTTATTCAGTTTCTTTCGGAATTTAGAAATGACCTGAACTGATATATTTAATTTTAATTCATACGGAAATGCATAGTTATAAATTGAATAATTTTACTAGTTATTGTTTCAATTTTGTATTTTAATTCATATGGCAATGCATAGTTATTATGCTCGAACTCTTGTTTATCATTATCGGAAAGTTATTTTGATCAAGAATTGGAATACTATGATAATGTTTTAATTTTGACAATTTCAACTCAGGTATGAGGCTGTTGAACTGAGAGATGGGGACAAGGGAACGTATCTTGGAAATGCTGTGACAAAAGCTGTTAAGAATATCAATGAGAAAATATCTGAAGCATTGGTTGGTATGGATCCAACTCTTCAGCCTCAAATTGATCAGGCCATGATAGACTTGGACAAGACAGAAAAGAAGGTACATTGTTTCTTTCTTTCTCAAAATATTGAGGTCTAGTTGTTGTTCACTTTGTGTATGTTTTAAAAACCAAAGCATTTTAATAGTAGGTTTGGGTTGGGACCTAGAGATTGTTTTAAATGCTTGCCCGTCAGCATCTGGACAAGGTCAACTTGAGAGAAGTGGGACAATTTCTTTGTATGAGGAGAAAAATAAAGAGAATAGGAACAAATTATTGTGCCAATCTCTTCCTTACCACTTTTTAGATCTCTTTGTTTTGAATTTTAGGTTGGATTATTCACATTATAACTACAATTCACGGAATTTGTTGCATTATGGTTCTTTTTCTGAATATTATTATCCCAGAGTGAACTTGGAGCAAATGCTATATTAGCTGTGTCAATTGCTGCATGCAGAGCTGGGGCTGCGGAAAAGGAGGTACATTACCTTGTCAATATTTTTTCCAATTCCCATTTATATGCTAGAAAATATTGAGTTATATTCAAAATGTTCTAACCAAAATAAAAATCAGGTTCCTCTTTACAAACACATAGCTGATCTTTCTGGTAAAACCAACTCAATCCTTCCTGTCCCTGCCTTCACAGTTATCAGTGGTGGAAAACATTCTGGGAATAGTATGCCTATTCAGGTAAATAACCATCTTCTTTAGGTTTAAATTCTAAATATTTGCTTGCTGTATTTTGTAAATGATCTTTTGCTTGATATTAATCAAAAGCATTTTGGAGGCCCATAATCTAAGCATTTTTTATGATTTTGATTTCTGGATTTTACTCCATCCTCTGCTTCTGGTAAAATGCCCCACACCTGACGGCTTGCTGCTTTTCATCCTTTTCTACCTGAAATCTTTCTAGTATCTGTATGACCTGATTTGTGTAATGCTGCTATCAGGACATCATGATTCTCCCAACAGGAGCAGGCAGATTTGAGGAAGCCTTACAAATGGGCTCTGAGATATATCATCACTTGAAGGTGATTGTTTAGCCTGTGGATTTAGTTTTAAGTTACTTGCTCATTACACGCATATTAAATGGACCTGATTGGTCTATGTGTAAGATTTTCTAAAAGTTCCTGATTGAGAATGGATCTGATTATATACACAAACATAAGCATACACCTGTGTTTCTTTTAGAAATAAAGATTAAGTTTTAGTTGTATTTAGTTGCTTGAAAATGATTTCAAAAGGTTGCTTGTGAATTATTTTACTCAATCAGTTTATGGGTAGACAAATACAATGAAATACCATTCAGTCTAATCATCTGTAGAAACTTTAAATTGGTCAACCTTAATATTTTTGTGGTACACTATCTTAAAAGCAATTTGCTCTGGAAATGTCATGCGTATACTCATTCTTCTATTATAATTGTTGATTGGTTGTTCATAAGAACAGGCTGTTATTACAGAAAAATATGGCGCAAATGAATGTAATGTTGGTGAAGATGGTGGCTTCACTCCTAACATCTCCAGGCAAGTGTTAGTCTGACTATCATCATTTTTCACATTATTGATGATTGCACTCTGTTTGTCACCCTTAAGGGGAATGAGATTTATCACTGGGGTGGAATTTTGTTTGATTTTCTCCTATTTCTCTTGGCAGTGTTAGAGAAGGATTGGATATTGTCCTTGAAGCTATCAGCAGAACAGGGTATAATGAGAGAATAAAGATAGGAATTGATGTTGCTGCTACTGATTTTTGCATAGGTGATGCTCATTTCCCCTTAATTAATCAATTATCATTCTGAAGCATTGGGGACATGTTTTGGGCAGAAACTGCTGCTCTACTGTTCATTTAGAGATGTTGGCATCATCATTGAACAGCTATTACATTACATTCCATTAGTAGGATATAAGATACTAAACTGAATGTATGATTTAGGGGTGCTGTACTATACAGTTGAAGGCAGAAACAAAAGCTTATTTTATCCTAGTCAGATTGCATGTTTCTTCCATTTAAGAATCTAATTTTGGGTCGCAGGATGTTCTTTCATGTGTAGACAGGGCTTGCTCATAATAACTGGGAGTTGCTTTTCTTGCTCCTTCATACAGGTACGAAGTACGACTTAGAATTCAAATCTCCAAATAAATCTGGGCAAAATTTCAAGTCAGGAGAGGATATGGTTCAGATGTACAGAGAACTTTGCAGTGGTATGTCAGTTTTTCTGTACAGGCTTCTGTTTGTTTTTTCCTGCTTTGTTCTTTCAACTATAATTTAATGCTGTTCCATTCCTTTTTCTTCTTTTCTGGTGTATTAGGTTACCCAATTGCATCTATTGAAGATCCCTTTGACAAGGAAGATTGGGAACATAGCAAACGTTTTTGCAGTCTTGGACTATGTCAGGTTTGGTTTTTTGTTAACATACTACTGATGCTTAGGTCTGTGGAATGGTGTTTACATTGTATTTAACATGTACAACTAAAGCCAAGGATAGAGTTAATATTCCCACATTTGGAGGTAGATGGAAGATAACCAACTGCATTATACTTTCTCTTTTGAATTTCCTTTGTAAATGATTAAATTCTTATACTTCAAATTCTGTTGGGTTTTTATCTACATACCTTGTTTTACAAAATGTTTTAATTGTTGGCTTTTGGTGCACCTAGAGATAAATTGGATCTGACTTGCATGATAATGTACATTGATGTACTTATTGGGTACTTCAACAATTTGTTTGGATCTCATTTCTGCTCTATATTTGATCAGCTGTAACTTAAGGTGAGATGGCTTTGCAGGTGGTTGGGGATGACTTGTTGATGTCAAATCCAAAGCGCATTGAGAGAGCAATACATGAATCTGCTTGCAACTCTCTTCTTCTCAAGGTATCTACAGGATTGTTGGATGATCATGACTATTTCTATTTGCTGATAATATGTCAAGTTAGCTGAATTGCCCTCTTTTTATTTTATTTCTCTATGATATCTATGCCAATGCAACAAAATACTATCAATATTATCTGAAGCTGGAAAAAGGATGAATTTTGTGCCAAAAGAATGTTTTCAGAATTTTTTGTTTAATCCTCTATTGGAACTTCAAGTTCTAATAACTCTATGTTCTGAATCAGATAAATCAGATTGGAACTGTGACAGACACTGTTGAAGTGGTAAAGATGGCAAAGGAAGCCCACTGGGGAGTGGTGGTGTCTCATAGATGTGGGGAAACTGATGATTCTTTTATTGCAGATTTAGCAGTTGCCCTTGGTGCAGGTCAGATCAAAGCAGGTGCTCCTTGCAGAGGAGAGCGGTTGGCTAAGTACAACCAGGTTTGTGTATATATTTGTAAAGCTATGCTTTTTGTGCAACTGCATGGCTCACAACTTAGAAAATAAAGAAGACATTAATTATACCAAAAACTATCTTCATGAAGACAGAGCTTATAGGTCTTCAACTGTGTAATGTCTAATTACTACGGCTAAGTGAAAAGATACAATATGCTAATATCAACAGGTTTTAAGTTTTGAAATACGAGGTAATTTTATTGGTAGCTTGTGAGCTACTTTGCCAATTACTATATTTCATGAGTTCTTATTTATGGTAGGCTTTCTGTTCTCACTGATGCACATCATCAAACTAGTTTAAGGACACGATCGCTTATATATAAATATATATATATATATATATATTTATTACATATCCTGCTAGGACAATCACCCTGAGATTTACCAGACAACCCACACGAGGCTGCAGTTGTGATTGTAGTTCATGTTTCTTGTTCATCTTGTTGCATCTTATAGTACCTTATTTAGTAATCCCTAGATCTCCTACCTGTATTTCCCACCATGCACTGGTGTGGGTATTCTATTCTGGTCCATTTTTCTTTACTCATACGGTATGCCTGTTCCTTCCTTTCTCTTAGCTGATGAGTTAGCCTGAGATAAACAAAGATATATACGATGCGTTTGGTGCACAAAATTATAAATAGAATAGTATAAAATAAGATTATGGATAGAATTGGATTAGCTAATATCGTGCTCTCTTATCCTTTAGCTTGTACACCAAACACAATGTCTGTTAATAATGCTGTTTGCTTCGGAAAATTTGCATAAAATAACAATAGTAGACAAGTAGAAAGCTCAGAGTCTAGCGTAATCCATGGATGTCACAAATCTATAGCACAATGTTAATCATGACAAAAGTCGAGAAAAGACTATTAATGGGAAAAAAAATCCTTTTGCAGTTGCTTCGAATCGAGGAAGAGCTCGGGGATCAAGCAGTGTATGCTGGGGAAGACTGGAGACCGTCATGTTGATTGCTCTTATGGGGTTTATCTGGCATTTTCTTTTCCTTTCATTATTTGAGCCTTCGAAATATTTTACCCTATGTATTAAACAATTTGCTTTTCTTTCGCAGTTTTCTACACTATTTGGTGTTCCCCCATTCCCCCCTCCCCCCTTTTTTTTATTCCTACATCAAGCCTCAAGATTTTTAATAGTACTACTTTAATTTGTTGTGGAAATTTTTATAAAACTTTGGCTTTATTTTTGTCTAGTGAAAATTAAAAAATACCTTGAATTTATATACCATTAACTCAGGTGGTTCTTAAATTTTTTTTTCATTTTTTGTCGAGGGAATCTAGTGGTCATTTTTAGAATTTTTGCTCCAAAGATAATAGCATTAATTGGTTACTAATGTCGTTTAGTTCTTATAGCAATAAACATGGCAGAAGGGAGAACCACTGTTACATCTGTTTGGTTAAATTGGTAGTGACTACATTAAAGTTATCGTATCGCTACCATTTGCTACCTCGGATAATAGCATTCCTACAAAATAGTAGCAATGCTGCTATTATCCAAGTTAAACTGAACCAATACAGGGACCTGTATATTTAAGTTGATTTCACCTTTATATTACCTCAAGTAGAACTCTTAGGGAAGCGTTAATGATACAAACATCAAACACATTCTAGTGAACAAGGAAACAGGATCCATTTCAAAATCATATTAAACTTGTGGCTTAGTCTCATCCTCATCCTCTTCTATCTTGGGTGCCAAGTAGAACCTGATATAGCCCATCTCAGCTATCTTGTACTCAACCACAACAGGCAGTTCTGAAGACAAGCTGATTGTCACTGTATTGGACAACGGAGTAGCCTTTGTAAATGAATTCAAGTACCTCAATGCAAATGTCAATGATACTGGCTCGTTCATCTCTATAATTGTTGCTTCTTCTGGCTGCAAATGATTATTCAGAAATCAATAAAACCATCAAATTAATCACGTTACATAACTTGTAAACAGGGCATAGCATCATGTAAATAACCATGTTTAAACAAATTACAGTCCTTGCAGCAAAAAAAATAATAATAATAAGATAGGCCCAAAGGGCATACTTTATCTACAGTGGTATTTTGCCTGAGAACAATATTTGCAGTTCCAATATCACCTCTTGCGGAAAACTTCACACCTTCCTTGGTAACAAAGATAACAACTGCAACCACATCAAGCTAGAGTTAAAATTTTCACAAGTGAATAAGCTCAAGTAAAAAGATGGAAGAAAAGCCAAAGAATCTATAATCAATAAATTTCAACAGTACCTGTATCACCAATGCTAGCAAGATCTTTACAAATCCTTGCAAACTCTGCTGAAGGCATCCTAACAATAGCCTGGTACTCAAGGTGCTCACTACCGATATCCATCAGCTTCATCTCAAAATCTGATATCTTGTCTTGTGCTTTAATCCATAAGTCCGGGCGTAAACAAACACACAAAATGTCAGTTCAAACGTATATTAACAACAAATTAGCAAATCTTTGACCCAAAAAAGAAAAAAATGGAAAGAGTCTAATGGCAATCCAATTGAATCAGCACCAAGAATTGTCATCTTGAATAAAAACAGTTTTTACAGCAAATAAACAGTTTATCAATCGCTTCAATTACAGCAAATAAACAATCTTTTTACAGTTTTTACAGTATTCTTTAGCTTTCCATCATTTTCCCAGCAACCAAACAGATGAAAAAGGTTCCAAAATAATCATCCAACAGATACAAAATTGAAATCAAACATGCATAAACACAAATTTCCAATAAATCACGTATCCCTAAACCCAAAAACCCTAATTACCCCCAAAATCACCAAAATACCCCAGGAAAACGGTAAACTTACTAGGGCTCTCGAACATGAAAGTAACAGTATCGCTGCCGTCATCAGCCTTGATTTACCGGCGCACTTTAGCATCTTGGACATGTTATTGAGATTCATCCCCATGGAAATGTTCCTATCGCAGCGGTAGTGTTCGAACCCTTCCGATCTCAGTAACAGAGCCACCAGTGCCACGTGGCTCGAATCCATGGCCTGCAAAGAGAATCCCGTCGCCGAGCAGTCGAAGTTCGCATCGTTGACCAAGTCCTTTATCGCTTCCAAGACTTTCTTTAGAAGCGAACCTTGAACTAGCCTAAGCTCAAGCATTTTTGAGGTCTTTTTTTTTTTTTTTAGCTTTTCTTGGCAGCGAAAGGTTTGAAATTTAGGGGAAAATGAGGGTTGAATTGGCGGGATTGCAGAAATTTGGTTAGGTCTATTTATTTTCATTAAACCAGAATTTTAATTTGTTTAAATATTTTACCCCAGAATGTAATTAGCCCTTTATATTTTTCTCGTGCTGTTTCTAAATATATCATTATTTTTGCTTTTCACATCCTAAAAATTTTTTAAAAAATTTCAAGTGAAATTTTTTATTATTTTTTTATAAATTTTTGGATATTTATATCAATAAATTTTATAATTTTTTTAAAAATTTATTTTTTAAATATTATATAATTTATTGAAAATAATTTTTTTAAAAATTATAATACTTTTTAAAAATTTATTTTGTTGGGAATCAAATTTTTAAAAAAATTACAAAATAATAAAAATAATTTTATGAATCAGTATAATAAAAAATTATTGTTAAAAATTATAAATTTTAAAATTAATAAAAAAATTATTTTATTTTTTATTTAAAAGAAATAAAATGTTATGAGCCCTAAATTTTATAAAAAATTTTAAATTTTAATATTAAATATATTAAAATTAAAACTTATTGAAAATTTATAAAATAATTTGAGAAAAAATATTAATTTTGTTTGATTAATTTTTCATTAATATATTGTGTGATATATTAATTATATACAAGTGAACTTTTAGTGACAAATAGCATATGAAATAACTACATGAACTTCTTTTGGATCACACAATTAAATTAAATAATTTTTAATTAAGCAATAAATTAACTGATTAACTAAACAATCAAACCCATTTTATAAATATAAAATAACAATAAAATTATAAATATAGAAATAAGAAAACAAAAATAATGATAATGACAATGAGATATAAAAAACAAAGAGAGAGACAACCCCAAAAAACCATGTACATGTGAAGCAAAACGAACATGTTAGCGTTAAGGAAAAGATTAATGAAAACAAGCAAGAAGATGCGAGGGAGTGAAAACCCAGTTGCACAACCTTCTATGGTTGCCAATGAAGGCGTTTTTTGATTACTTTCTTCCTCCCATTCATCAAATTCCTATATATATTTCTTTCATTTTCTTTGATTGTTCCACTGTCACCCAACCAACTTCTTTCCTTTTATTGCCCGAAATCTCTGCTATCCGTTTTTCATTTTCCGTTACCAATGGCAGATCTCAAGTTCTCTTTCGCTGAAAGTTTTATTTGCAGTGCTTTTGCTGCTTGTTTTGCTGAGGTATTCACGATCTATTAGATATAAATTTGCACTTGCACTTCTTTTTTTGTCCTTTTGTTTGCTAATTGTGATTATTTTCATCTTGATTGCTAGGTTATTGGAGAAAGGTTAAATTTTGCATATATATGCTTTTTCATGTTTTATTTGAAGCTCATTGCTTGGTTCTATGCTTGCTTTTTTTACATTTGTTTAATTTTCTGATGATGGTTCAGTTTTTGTCCTTGGCATTAGCTTCTTGTTTCTGGGTCTTTTATATTTTATCTGTTCTCCTACAATGTTAAATATTTTGAATGAAAGTTAAAGTTTTGGATTCTAGTAAATCATGAATCTTTGTTAGGATTAGGAGAGGGTCCTTTGGTAGTAGCTCGGCGAGATTTTAGATGCTTGGCCATTTTATAAGAAATATATGTTCAATTCTCCATATGGTTGAAGATGCTCTCAGTAAGAATTCATGTAGTGATTTGTCCGTGGATATATATCCCAAATCTGCTTTTGATACCCTGTTTTGTTAAACAATTATTGTTTAATCAAGATCACAGGAAGCATTGCTTGATATGGGAACTTTTATATGGAACGATATGGAAATGGGATGCTTATTTCTACATGACTGGTATACTGTATAGCATCATAAATGCTTCGAGTATAAGTTGAACCCTTCTTGTTAAATAAGCTTCACATTGTTTGCTCTGCATTCGGGAGAGGCGTTTCCCATACTTGCTTTTATTTCCTTTTATGCTTAACACTCTTCTTTTACTTAAACATTTTGCTCATGGTTTTGCAGTTCTGTACCATCCCTTTGGACACTGCCAAAGTCAGGCTCCAGCTCCAAACGAAAGCAGTTGGTGATGAAGTTAATTTACCTAAATATAGGGGCTTGTTGGGTACTATTGCTAAGGAAGAAGGTTTATTAGCACTTTGGAAAGGAATAATTGCTGGATTACATCGCCAATGCATATATGGAGGTTTAAGGATTGGGTTATATGAACCTGTAAGGCCATGATAGGGCTCAAATTAGCTTGTTTTGTCCTCTTTTTTTTTTTTTCTCCAATAAACTTGCGTATATGTGTAAATGGACAGGTCAAAACACTTTTAGTTGGCAGTGATTACGTTGGAGATATTCCTTTGTACCAAAAAATTCTAGCAGCTTTATTGACCGGTGAGTTAATGGTAACTACTCTGTTGTAGTAAACTGTGTGCATCTTCCATATTTAGTTCTACACGACTATACCTTGTTTTGTCAGTTTGTAGGTGCTGCACTTATAATCAATGTCTGCCTTCTGCTTTATTAAAAGGATGCTGTTTTGCAATAAACTCATATAATAGCCATTCACATCAAACAGGTGCTCTAGCTATTGCAGTTGCTAATCCAACTGATCTTGTCAAAGTTTGGCTACAAGCTGAAGGAAAATTTCCAGTTGGGGTTGCTAGGCGTTATTATGGAACATTGGATGCTTACTACACCATAGTTAGACAAGATAGTTTTCTTAGAATAATACTATACTTCTTTTATTGAGAAATCATAAAGAATTTTCAATAATCAGGAAGGACTTGGGGCACCGTGGACTGGGCTTGGACCTAACATTGCAGGAAATGCCATTTTAAATGCTGCTGAACTAGCCAATTATGATCAAGTGAAACAGGTGAATTTTAACTTTTAAGTCAACTAAGTTGAAATTACTTATTTTGATAAAGTTGATATCATGCTTGGCTAGTAGGGTTTTTCTGGTGATGTTCTAACTTCTAATGTCTTTGTATTCATGCAGACAATTTTGAAAATTCCAGGATTCTCAGACAATGTTCTAACTCATCTTCTAGTGGGTCTTGGTGCAGGGTTCTTTGCAGTCTGTATTGGTTCTCCCATTGATGTGGTAGGTATCTGATCTTGACTTCATCATCCGCTATGCTTAAAAAAATTATAAGATTGATAACTTTTGATTATTTGTTATCTCTATCATAATTTTTGTCCTATAGCTTTGTGCTTATATTTTAGTAAGTGGTTCAAACCTAGAATGAGTGTCTGTTGCTTATCTCTGTCACCTGCATTGTTAAATATGGTTAGAATCATGCCTTTTTATTTATGCTTCAATGCTTTGCTTCTGTTAAACCAGCATTTTTCTGAAAACCCAGTGATATTGGTTTGTGGAATTGTTTTGATCAGTGCTAAAAGTTTTAGACTGAAAAACTTGAGTTGAGCCTTTATTTAGTGATTAAGCACCACTGGATATGCAGAACCACAGTGCCATTATGTACTGCTCTGGATTGGAATTGTGAAAGAGGATTATGTGCCATAGCCATGCTTGATACAGTTTAAATTATGACTCTTTCTCCATGTTGATACTTTAAGTTTTAGTCTAATTTGTCTTCTAAGCATCAGAGGCAATGACAAGACTATGTTTCTAGAAGATGATGGATCTCTGTATCATGTAGACTGATTTTATAAAACTTATGTTGGGTGGGTGGGTCTGCTTGTTATGTTCCAGGTAAAATCTAGAATGATGGGAGACTCTGGCTACAAAAACACTCTTGATTGTTTTGTTAAGACTTTGAAGAATGAGGTATATTGATTCTGTGCTTGTTTTATCTGCATCTCATCAAGGTTTCTCTAGAATCAATGCATGTCTTTTTGGTTACACTCTGTGTTCTTGGTACTACTGGAAGGTCAAAATTGGAACCAGAACTATAGATTTTTGGATGTTCCGTGGCTGAAAAATTTTACCCTCATCATTATTACTATTCCTTTGTTTAGTTAAGTGCAAGCATCAGAAAGTTGTTGGCTTTTGTAGTTCATTACATATTTATCTTAAATCCTTTCTCGAAGATGCAACTTTTGACAGTTAGTCTTGATAGGCACTGACTTTTGACAGAAAAGCATTATTATGATGAGTAGTGACATTTTGACTGTTGATGCATCGCAGGGATTCTTTGCCTTCTATAAGGGGTTTCTTCCAAATTTCAGTCGCCTGGGATCTTGGAATGTGGTTATGTTTTTGACTCTTGAGCAAGTAAGACCTGTTTTTTAGATTTGATGCTTTCTACTTTCTTTGGTAATCTTTTTCTAATATATGTATGCATGTGCATTCCAATCTCATATTTTCTATTTTGCAATAAGATTCCAGTTTTGAATCTGCATATAGGCTAAACGCATCACAATGCAACATCTGGATTTGGAAAACTGCCATGTTTATTGGGCTCAAGCTCAACCTTAGTAGTGAGTGCTATGTTGTGTCTGTACTATTATACATGCCTTTGCCAACATTTAACCTATATTCCATATAGATTTATTTATATATCTATTTTAAATTTTTAATGTTTTTTCTTTTTTTTTCCCAAAAAGATGGGAAGATTTTTTCTATTTCTTGTGATTTAAACGCAGAGACTGTTTCTATTCAAAGCTTTGAATTTTCTTGGCCTACTTGTAAATCTTAAGAAAGCCTTTATATTTGCTACCAATGATGAATATGCTAACCTTCCTCGTTACGATGATTGCAGGCCAAGAAAGTTTTCCGGGGAGAATTATATTATGATTGATTTAGATTGCAGCCAGGAATACAAGGCTTTTGCTTGTTGTCCCTTCGATTCTTGAACAAATATTTTTGAACAAAGAGTAAGGTAGGCATTTTTTATAACTCTTCATTTGTCTTACATAAAATAGTGTCATTTAACCATTAGCAAACGTTTAAGTTACTAATTAGATATCTTTTAGAAAGAATTATTACCGTACACTTCTGTGGGAGTACAAGCTGTCTGTTTGTCTCCTCCCAACTAAACTGAAATTGGAAAATATTTGCCACGTTGTATTTGGAACCATGTAATACCTACATTTGTGGGACATTCAACACATATTGCTTATTCTTGAACTAAACATGAGAAATTTAAGTTGCATGTACTGATGTGCCCTGCATTGCCCTGTTTGTTAGTGCAGGGAAACTTGGTTGAAGGTGGAAACAATACTGTGCTCTTGTTCAATCATTATGCCTCCCTTTGGCTTGTATCTTATTGTATTCTTCCTTTGAGTCTTTGACCTTGTCCCTTCCTTATCGGGGTAACAACTAATAACTGTAGGCTGAGAATTGGCTTTTAGTGTCAACCATTGTATAAAGTATTTACCATGTAAATGTTATAGTTTGGTAAGTACTCAGCCAGATGTTATACAACGTATAATCTTCTTACCTTCGCTTCTAGTTCCAAGTATACCTGAGCAGGCACATTCTTTGTTGAATAACAAATGATTGAATGGCCTTTTAGCCTGTCATTCTGTTCCTCCAAACTTTAATAATAGTTTCTGGAAAGTCGAAACTTAAACCGAGGTGATTGAAAGTTTAATCTCATCATAATTTTGCAGATAAATTTTGAGTATGCTGGAAATACAGGGCTCGAGAAAGGCAAGGATCTGATAAAACAAACTGACCAAGTAACCGAAGACTGAAACATCTATGAAGTTCAATCCAAACTCTTAAAGAGCAAATGCTCAGGTAACATGCAGCTCAAGAGTAATGATCTAATAATCCTAACATCAGTAGTCTAATAATAATATTCCAGAAGTTCCTCCCAAGTGTTGTCCATAAACAGCAACAGCAAGGTAAACCGAATAGCAACAAGTGTAAATCCTAAAACCTGTCCAAGCAGATACAAGAAGTCTGACCATAATTACTTCAAGTCCTAGCCACAAGGTAAACCCTTGCCTTGACAACAGATCCATTTCCTAGCTTGAACCCAGGGCTAACTGGGAATCCCACGATCTGACCTGCAGGCACCCGCCCACCTGCAATTTTGACCACGCTTTCCATATAATGTGGATGAAACTCTGCTCCCCTACTCGCCTCAAACTGACTTGGTGATGGGTCAAGCGAGAATGCGAGCAAATGAAGCAACCAAATTGCCTTGGCCAGCCCCAAGAACTCCCCATAAAACTGACTCCTAGGATGATTTCCAGCCATTACTTGGCTGCGCTGCTCCAGGTCTCCTAACAAGGATTCTTCCATCTTAGGATGAACAATGGCAAGGTACTTCTTGGAGCAGAACTTGCCAAAATGGCAAGTAGGCAAGATTCCAAGAAGTTCAACCGGGTCCATTGCCTTCATGTCACGGTATTGAGTGAAGCACTCCCGACGGTACTGATCCGGATTAAGCAGGGAAGAGAGGCTACCATCCATGTAGAATGTCTCGTGGTCGAAGCCTTGAAAAATTTTGCGTGAAACATATGACTCAAGCGCATACTTGGCATGGTGATTTGCGATGACAGAGGGAGTGATCATGGTGGTATAGGTTGAGTTATCAGGAGTGGCGGTGGCGGCTTCAATAGATCGGACTGCGGCGGCGATATCCCAGCGAGCCTCACGCATGAGGGAAAGGAGGAGACATGTGAAGGACTTTGATGCCTCCTTCACCTGACTCATTGTGGCCTCAAACAGCTCTGGTGCTGGTGCAGCTGTAAGTACTGCCACCAGGAACAAGCAAAGAACTTAAAACTGACATGATCTCCCTAAATATGCCATAAAATTTTAACACCAAAGATTAATCCTTGATTCAAACCTTAAAATTCCCATAATAATTTGCCAAGAGACTAATGGTTTCCTAGTTATTTGAACAAGAAAGACTGAATAGTTGGTTTGACTATGACTACCTGGTGACGTGGAATGATGCCATTAGTCAGAAACAATATTTCCAGCCTTGTTTGCATCTTGTCTACTTCTCATAATTACCAATGTAACCCCAAATTTCATCAAATGAGATACAAATGTAAAAGCAAAAAGGGTTTCAAAGACAAGTCTACAAAGGTCATTTCAAAGAAAATTACCTTGACTGCAGCTGACTTTCCTCCTGGAAAGACCCCGTCCTCTCTTTCCACCATTGGAAAGGCAAGTAACAGTATTCAGCTTCTCTTTCAAGTTCTCAATCTCCACCGCCTTAACCTTCACTTCCTTCTTCAACTCCTCCATCGCCGCCTCATACGGCGCCACCACTTCCCTCAGCATAGACACGTGTCTTTTCCCAGCACCACTACCACTACCATGTGTCCCTCGTCTAAACCTTTCCCTCAATACCCCAAGCCTCCTCAACTCCCCCACCACCGCCACATCAGCCGCCCTCATCCTCTCCGGGTCCCACGGACAATGTGCCTCCTGTAACCTGACGTAAGCCTTCTTCATTTCCGCCACCGCATCGAAAACCTCCTCCATTAACATCACCATTTCCTTCATTTTCTCTCCATTGTTCCAAAACCCCCCTATTCTCCTCGACTTTTCCACGTCTTTAACTCCATTTTCTTTCTCTTCATCCTCACTCGAATTATTATACTCGTAATATTCTTCTTCATCCGGGTCCTCCTCAATGACGGCGTGAGTCACGTCGTCTACGTCGCCGTACTCTCGTCTACCGGCGGCGAGCGGGTGCAACAAACAAGAAGCTGCAACTCGTTGTATCAGATCCGAAAAGTTCGATACTTTGCTCGCCATTTCTCCTTTCTTCTTTGCCTTCACCGTTGCTCCGTGTCTGAAACAACCAAAGTGAGATGAGCAGGGAGCTCGGTGAGTTAAAAAGTTTTGAGTCTTTTCGAGCAAAGTTAGAAACTTTTGTCTTCAATGAGGATGCGCAGGATAAACGGTAACACCAATCCAATTGAAGGTAGCAAAAACCCAATGTCAAGAACAAGAAAAAAGCAAGTTTTTTTTTTTTTTTAATTCGGACAGGTGGCTGACCTGGAAACGTGAGAATTATCAGATCTTAAACAGAATCTTGACGGCGACTGATTCTGAGACGGATCTCTGTTAAACGTAACGGAATACCAAAAGTCAAGGTCTTTGGCTTCAGTTTCCAGGCTATCCCGGTTGCCTTTCTTCTTCCTGGGAACACAAAAAATTAACCCATGGTAAAGCTTTTCACTACATAGATGGTTTACAGGTGTGCTTGTCTACGTTGTATTTACAAAAATACCCTCTTGAGACACGTGTATGGTGTAGATTTCAGTTTGATTTTTTTGGAGTGATTAAGATAAGGGTGGAGTTAAAGAGAAAGGAGTGGCTGGCATAGGTGATGGTGCTTTCTTCCATGTTTGGTCTTCGATATTCAAGATTGAAGGAGAGGTCCCTCAATGGAAGGAGAAAAAAAAAAAGCACATAGAAAATTCATGAATTTCACAGTTGCTTGAGTTTTGGCATGTCTTGCTATCTAAGTTTTGCCTTTGTAATATAATTCCATCCAAGTTTTGAAGAAAATGTTAGTTTTGTAAATGACCCAAAATTTTAAATATTTTATATTAAATTCACTTATGATTAGTGCGATTTATAAAATAATTTTTATTTTTTATATATTTTTTGTAAAAAAAATTACGACCAAACAAGAATTTAAGTTGGTTAGGCATGAAATTCCTAGAAGAAGAGTTTCTTGTGGATATGAAAATCAAATCACAAATCCTCCGCTACAAGAGATTAGCCCTAGTCATAACTTCAAAAAGAAAAACAAAACTGTTACTCTATGAAAAGAAACATTTGATTAGTGAATTTGAAGTGAGAGATTTGAAGAAGTTTTCTTGGGCAAAACTTATGAAGTTGATGTTTTCACCTTGCTTTGTATTCAAGTAATCAAGTCAAGTTGATTTAGACAAAGGTCGAAGAAGCAAATTGTTTCACTTTCCCATTTTTTTTTTTATATTTAAATTATTTGTTTCACTTTCAACCTAAATATCAAGAAAAAAAAATGAAAAATGATTGATCTATAATTGAAATGGACTGCCTCTCATTTCAGAGCTTATCTAGTAGCGTAAATAGGTTCATGATTCTTGTATCTTCTAAACTAAAGCTGTCCAAAACTAACCAAAAAAGGCAGACAATCGAAAGGAAAGGACATTTTACAAATTAAAAACTGTAAAAAAAAATGTCAATATTCCCGTGTTTATGCCTTGTGAAAGTTTCCAAGGCATATTTTCATCGAGAAGAAAGATCTATATAGTATTATTATAGTGAAGGTGAGTCATTTTCCGATCGAGAAATTCCTAGTTGGATACACTTACCAATTTGAAATAATAGAGTCCCACAAGAAAAGAAACCGTATTTGTTTTGGTTAATATATAAAATCATATTTTTACTTCAGAATTTCCCAATATCCATCCCTTAATATCAGCTCAGTCCTTGGAGCAAAATCCCTGCAGAAGGCATGGCACTGGCCGCTTAAAGCTTTCTCAGTATGGTTTATATGTTAGCTCCGGTATCTAATGTCGTCTCTTCAATTTTCTTTAAATATCCGTATTTGGCACTTTTGATGTGCATGAATATGGATATGGGTATAGAAATCCAATCTTTCGAATATGAAAAAAAAATTAGAAAAATTTAAGAATATCCGTATCAAATACATACCCGAATCAGAGTAACAGAGTATACAAGCTATTAATTACCAAATCTTCCTTAACGTTCTCTTCATGAATTTATATTTATGTTTAATTAGGCATTGTCAATTGTTGATTTCTTGTAACTTTTTCAATACTTTTCATACAATATTATTTTCTCTACTCAATTTCTAAGGTGAAATTTTTGAAAGACGATAACTCAAGCTAGGTTCAACAAGGAAAATGTAGCTAAAAGGAACAGTTCTTGAGTACAAATATAAACTTTGAAACATGGATGATAGCCATGGATGAGCAATTGTAAAGTACCAAAAGTAAGGTATAAAGTTCAACAAAGAGATAATAATTACCTTGAGAAGTTTGGTCGACGCATGGAACAAAGCAAGCTACTGGGAAACATTGTCTCCACAAAAACACACAGGCAAGCAAACAGCAATGGAAAAGAAGGTGATGAAAATGAGAGAAGGGGAGAGACTCAAATTGTATGCATGAAAAAAAAAAATTATTGCTAGAAGCTTGGGTATTTAATAACTTTTCAAAAGCTAGCTGCTATTGTTGTATACGATAATAGTATTACATAATGGAGCTAACCAAGAAACAAGACAAAAGAAAGATGTTCGATTTCATATGAATCCATGCATCTATCATGGCTCATGTTTTATAATTTTTTTAAGTCTCTTGTCTCAATCAAAATTCATGGAATTTGGAACATAATTACCTAATTCGTGTCTAGGGAAATTCTATATAATTTTTTTTAGAGATTAATAAGCAAAGCGGCCAAATACAAAGAATAGATCATAATCCTTACTTTTCTTCCTAAAATAGAAACTAAAGAGAAATTATATTGATCTTAAAAACTATATGAACAATATTTTAATTAGGTGTTACTATTTTTTTTCTCTGAAAAATAATGCATGATAAAATTTGGTGTTTGCTGTGTTATGCTTGGATTTGTTGCTTTTCCCCTGTATGTTTCTGTATTCCTGTGTTTGTAGGGATGAAACCATTTCTCTTTTATTATTAAAATGAGACATTGTTTAGTCAATTTTCACTTTAATGCTTATAGATATTTTTTCATAAATAACTTTCTTGAAGATCACTTTAAACATTATCTCTCCAAGTTCCATTCGCTTCCTTCATTTATATGAATTGTATAATCAATTAGTGATCATATCCATGCATAATAATTTTAATTTTTACTAGTTCTAAATAAACACATTGATAATATTTTTTGGGATATTTGAAATTGCAAGATTTTGATATTCGGTCACTAGAATTAAGAATCCGATGCTATCAACAAATCACATAAATGAAATTAACCCTAAATGAAATACCGAAACTTTTTTTTATGATTATTAAGATCATAGTGACCTTAAATTATTTTCTTTGAAATGTTATATGAAACTTATTGGAATTATATAGTTAAAGCTTACTTAAAAGCTTCTTATTGATCATTTTACTTTGTTATATGGAACAAAACAAGAAATCGACATTTCCAGGCATGCCATATGGATATGCATGCATCGCAAAGTGATTTTTTTTTTTTTTATGTACTAATTTGCTAGCTGGCTTAAAGCAAAAGGCTAAAATGTATATTGTTCCTTCTTTTAGGGGGGATGTTTTTTGCACAAGATACTTTTAGAAATGGGTTTTTGATATTTTTCCCCTTTTTTGCCTCAAAGAGATAGCCAAAATTTTTTTCTCATATCAATATTTTTAATCTAATAAAAAATTCATCTTATTCTTTTATTTTAAAAAAATATTATTACAAAATAGTTATATATGTATATGTGTATGTTTCTTATGTTTATATAGCATTATCCATATAAAAAAACAAACACTACTATCATTGATGTATCAATATAAATCAATGATAGAAAGTTTTGCTCATTGATATTTGTCTTCACTTTGTTAAAATGTTATATGTATTTTTCTTTTTCATCTCTTTAGGCAGGTGGTGTGAAATGAAATTTTTTTGGCAAAAAATTTTGAGTAAAAATCAAGGTAAAATAATTTATAAATATTTTTTAAAATTTTTTAAATTTATAAATCATTTATCAATAAAAAATTTATGAAATTTCAAACTTAAATGATTTATATTTAAATCACAAATCTTATCTACTTGCATCAATTTTTATTGACGTGAAATGGACCTAAAAAGCACTCTTACTGTACCATCATTTCGTACTAAACGTTCCTTAATTTTGAAAGTTACTTTTTTTTTTTTTCCAATAAGGAAAGTGCTATTAATGTTCTCACAAAAAAAGAAAGATAAAAGGTGACCTAATAATTGATAAAATCCAAATCGTTTATCCTAAAGAAGCTAGTTGATCTTTATTGGTGTTTGGTTAATTTAGGGTGACTGAAAAGGCTTGTTTTCCATTATTTTGGCTCAAAGTGTTTGGAAGTGAATGGTTAATTATGATCATAGACATAGAGTGTGATATTTTGTTAGGCAATCATATTTTTAGTTTTGGCTGTGGTATTTGGAGTGAACCGGCCTTGTCAGCTAGCCGATAGTAGGGATTAATTTGCTTGAGTGGGGCTGTGTCGGGGGAAGAAGCTTTCAGTGTTTATCAAATTTTGAAATTCAATTTACCATAATCAAAAGATTAGATTTTTCATCTTAAAATATTATTTTTATATAAACGAGACCACGATATAAGGATAACAAAATAAAATTATAAGTATTAAAATTTAATTTAAACGTGAACATATAAATTAATAGAATTAAGTCTGTATTCTTTAAAATATTTCTTAAAAATACAATATTTTTTATTTAAAAAAAAATACATCAATCTACTATTAAATTTTTAAAATACCCTTTAACCTTATAGGTGAGCAAAAGTCAATTTAAATCGATTAGATCGATCGAAAACGAGTGAATTCAGTTAAATCAGTTAAGTTTATTCGATTGAATCAGTTAAATTTATTCGGTTTTAGTTATAATCAATTTTTTAAATTAGTTAAATTAATTAATTCGATTGATTTTTAATTTTTAAAATTGATAATTAAACTGATCGAATTAACCATCTAATAAGTAAAAGTAAAAAAAATTGACATAAATATTTTATTTATTTTTTTTCTGTAAAATATTATTAAAATTATTAAATTTTTTAGTCATTTAGTTTGAATGATACTTGAGTTTGAATTTTATTGAATTGAATTTGTGGTTAAATAATTATTCATAATTAAAAAAATGATTAAAAAATTTATTATTTAACTGAATTAATTGAATCGAATCGATTTTGATCGATTCGTTTATGATCAGTTATTTAATAATATTCGATCGATTCAGTTATTTGTTAAATGAAAATCGGTTAAATCGATTATTAATTTTTACAAACCGAACCAACTGATTACTCATCCCTATTTAACCTTAATAAGTGTTTTTAAGGATTTTTTTTTTAAGATTCGTAAAAAAATTAATGTTTTTAAAGAGTGTATATAGCAGTCTCATTCCATTTTTATTAACTAATACAACCAGTCCTTTTCCTTTTTCTTGTATAAAAGTGGATATGTTTTGAATTTGATCATTTAGGTTTTGAGTTAAACCAAAAGAACTATATATTTTAACCTCTTATCGTCATCCCATGCATGAATATCGCATTTCTCACTTCATTTCGAAACTTGGAAACTTTCTAGTTGTAGGGTTTAAATTATTTATTCATATATAGATGTTTTACATGCATACTTGATTTCCAACTGAGCCAAAGCCTGTTCTAAGTGACATAGTGAAGCTGCTGGGTGTTATTGAGCAGAAAAAATTCAGTTTAATTAGAAGAAAAGCCAATGAGAACGCTGACTGGATAGCTACTCAATATACAAGGAGGGGATGTGCACAAGTGGATGGCTAAGGCAGCCACCTTATTCTCTGGTGTAATAAGTAGAGATGGTCTTCCTGCACCACCATAGGAGGTTGTAATTTTTAGTCTCTCAAAGAATGAATCCCTGTGTGTAGGTCTCGAATTGTCTAGCAGAGTAGTGGTTTGTAATTTGATGAGAGACTAAAAATTTAATCCTTTCAAATTTTAATTAGATTGGTAATTATTAAACCTTTCAAGAAAAAATGAATGCCACTTATTAAATTTATTTAAAAGCATAAGTATAGATACCCATTTTATTCGGGTCTAAAATTTAATTTAATTTATTTATTATTTATTTATCTTTTCAGTAAAAAAAAAAAAAGAAATATCAAAGACTTGGTTGAAAAAAAATTGCTTGGTTGGATAAAAGGTTTTTTAAAAAATAAAATTCAATCTTAATCCAGATAAATTTTTTGAAAAGTTTAATCTTAATTAAAATACTGTTTGGACTTGAATTTTTATCTATAAATTAGTTTTAATATACACAAAAAAAATCATAGAAAAAACAATTAGCAGAGAAAATCATAAGAGTGGAGCATAATAAAGGGACAAAAAAATAGGAACACAAATCAGAAAGAAAGAAGGAAGGTAGAAATAATCGAGAGAGAAAACAGGCTTTTAAGGCATTATTTGGTTTGGAATCAATAGGATCTGAGGGAAGCAGTAGAAAGAATCAGAAGCAGGCAGTGGCCTAGAGATTTTTAGAGGAGGATTATGATATTGTTGGAAGGTTACAGTACAGTTGAAAGAATGAATGAGATGAGCTTTGGGATGAGAAAGCATTAGATTTCATAAAGCTAAATAGAAGACAAAATAAAAGCAAAACTATGGGCAAGGCCCCCACCATGACACGTGACCCATTGACCACCCAAACTTTTGTTGGATAAATTAGCCCCTGTTGGATTTCTTCTCCATCTTGGGTTTAACTCAAAATTTTTAGGTAATCTGTTGTTATTTCTACTTCATTTATTTTATTTTTCTTTTATGGCATATTTAAATTTATAATGTGTTAAAAATTGAAGATTTGTGGGTAAAATAATAATAATAATAATAATAATAATAATAATTTGTAATTTTAATTTATTTTATATAATTAAGATTTTATTTACATTGTGTAATTTAATAAAATTCTCTTTATGATGAAATTAAGAGAGAATTCGAATGTGGCTATTTAAGGAAAATTTTAGGGGAGAGGTTTTTCTTAAATTTGAGCCAAATGAAGGAAAATTTAGATAAAATTTTAATAATAATAATTAAATTTATTTTTAAAAAATAAAAAAATCTAAATAAATATAATAAATTTTGGGAATTAATTAAAAATTATTTAAGGATAAGAATCTTAAAAATTTTAAATAATAAATTTTTTAAAAAATTTTAGATGAGTAATTTTCTTTAGATTTTATCCAAATTATGAAATAATTTAGATAAAATTTTAATAAAAGTTATTATATTCTTTTTCAAATTAAAAATTAAAAATATAAATTAAAAATTTAGGTGAAAATATTTGACAATTATCTAATGATAAAATCTTAAGAAAAATCACAAATTGTTGAATTTTCATAAAATTTATAGGTAAAAAGTTAACTCAAATGGTAGTAGAATTTAGAAGAGATTTCAAAAGTAATTGTCTTATTATTTTCTTTATAAGGATTAAGAAACTAACAAGAGTAGATTTAAATTTAGCCTAAATGATAAAAAATTTAATAGTAGATAAAGAAATTTTCTAAATAAACCCAAATGATAGAAAATTTAAAAATAAAACTTGTAAAATAAAAAATAAATTTCGATGATTAAATTTTTAATAATTGCAAATAAATTATTATTTAAAATATTTTTAAGTGAGAAAATATTTTTAATTTTGACCAAAATGATGGATCTTTTAGATATATTTTCAATAAAACAAAAATTTAACAAAAAAAAATGATTAAGTTTTTTCGATGATGGAGTCTCTTAAAAAAAAACAAATAAGATCCTTAAATACTCTTTAAGGTGATGATGTATTTTTAAAAATTTTACCATATTAATGAAAAAATATTAAGAATTATCTTCAATATTTAAATATCAAAATTAAGATCATTAGAACAACAAATTGTAGGATAATTTAAAATAAAATGATATTATCATTTAAATGAACTTGTGAGGATGTTATAATCTTTTTTATATATAATAAAACTCCTGAATTTTTTTATTAATAGATCATAATTTATTTTTAAAAAACTTTTAATTAAATTAAAAAGTTTTTTAAAATGATAGATTCATTAAGTAATTAATCATATCTAAATAAAAAATCGATGATAAATCCTTATTTATTAATTAAGTGTAGATATCCATTTTATCCTATGTTTAAAATTTAATTTAATTTAATTAATTAATTTATTTATTCAATAAAAAAAAGAAATATGAAAGATTTTGTTGAAGACAAATTGTTTGGTTGGATGAAAGATTTTTTAAAAATAAAATTCAATCTTAATCTAATTATTAGATAGACTTTTTGAAGAGTTTAGCTGTAGTCAAAATATTATTTGAATTTGAATTTTTATCTATAAATTAATTCTAATGTACACAAAAAAAATCACTGAGAAAACAATTAGTAGAGAAAATCATAGAAGTGGAGCATAATAATCGATTTGGAATCAACAGGATCTAAGGGAAGCAGTAGAAAGAATCAGAAGCAAGCAATGGCTTGGAGATTTTCAGAGGAGGATTTATGACATTGCTGGATGGTTACAGTACAGTTGAAAGAATAAAAGATGAGATAAGCTTTGGGATGAGAAAGCATTAGATTTCATAAAGCTAAATAGAAGACAAAATAAAAGCAAAATTATTGGCAAGGCCCCCACCATGACACGTGACCCATTGACCACCTAAACTTCTGTTGGATAAATTAGCCCCTGTTGGATTTCTTCTCCATCCTGGGTTTAACTCAAGTTTTTTAGGTAATCTGTTGTTATTTCTACTTTATTTATTTTATTTTTCTTTTATGGCATGTTTGAATTTATAATGTGTTAAAAGTTAAAGATTTGTAGGTAAAATAATAATAATAATTTGTAATTTTAATTTACTTTGTCTAATTAAGATTTTATTTAAATTCTATATTTTAATAAAATTCTCCTTACGATTAAATTTAAAGAGAATACGAATGTGGCTATTTTAAAAAATTTTAGGGGAGGAGTTTTTTTTAAAATTTGATCTAAATAGAAGAAAATTTAAATAAAATAATAATAATAATAATTAATAGTTATTTTTAAAAAATAAAAAATCTAAATAAATATAATAAATTTTGGGAATGAATTAAAATTTATTTAAGGATAATAATTTTAAAAATTTTAAATGGTAGATTTTTTTTAAAAAAAATTTTAGATGAAGAATTTCTTTAGATTTGATCTCAAATAGTGGAATAATTTATATGAAATTTCAATAAAAATTATTGTATTTTTTTTAAATGAAAATTTAAAAATTAAAAATTAAAAATATAAATTAAAATTTTCGGTGAAAATATTTGACAATTATCTAATAATAAAATCTTAAGAAAAATCACAAATGGTTGAATTTTCATAAGATTTTCTAAGTGAAAAGTTAACCTAAATAGTAAAAGAATTTAGAGAAAATTTAAAAAATAATTGTCTTATTATTTTCTTTATATGGATTAAGAAACTAACAAGAGTAGATTCTAAAATTAGCTCAAATGATGAAAAATTTAATAATAGATAAAGAAAATTTTTAAATAAACTCAAATGATAAAAAATTTAGAAATAAAACTTGTAAAATGAAGAATAAATTTTGATGATGAAAATTTTAATAATTACAAATGAATAATTATTTAAAATATTTTTAGGTGAGAAAATATTTTTAATTTTAGTCAAAATGGTGGATCCTTTAGATATATTTTCAATAAAACAAAATTTTAACAAAAAAAAATTAATTAAATTTTTTCAATGATAGAGTATCTTCAAGAAAATTAAATGATATCATTAAATACTCTTTGAGGTAATGATGTAATTTTAAAAAATTTATCAAATTAATGAAAAAATATTAAGAATTATCTTCAATATTTAAATATCAAAATTAAGATCATTAAAATAATAAATTTTAAGATAATTTAAAATAAAATGATACTAATTTAAATGAACTTGCAAAGATGTTATAATTTTTTTTATATATAACAAAACTCTCAAATTTTTTTAATTAGTAGATCAAAATTTATTTTTAAAAAATTTTTAAAAAATAAATTTATTAAATAATTAATTATATCTAAATAAAAAATTAACGATAAATCTTTAAATTGTGTCTAATTATAAGCCGATGAGACAAAGAGTTAATTTCCTGACGCTCATGAAGCTAGAGCCACGATATACAAAGAATGAAAGACAGTCTAGCTATAAGTTCATAACAATGGAGGTAGAGTCTCGAAAGTGGGGGCAAATTCCACCACCACCACGTGAATGAACATAACGTCCTTCGTCCGAGAGGGGGGCTTTATTTTTTTAATTTGCCCGTGGGAATTATTGTTTTACGTGTCAGCTGCATATTCGACTTGTTCATTGCCCGTACTTTCGGGAATCCTTGTCAGGAATCAGGACAAGGAAAAAGCCAAAAGGCTTTCCTTTCATGAAACTGGCGATGATCTTCCTTGCATGTATATGGTTTTGGTTAGAAAACAACAACGGCCGACGTACGAGTGATCGATGAAGATATTCATGGTCGGGGTGAGTATACAATACTTTGACGCTTTTGTCCTCCTCAGCATGTGATCATCCGTGAAACCTAGTTTAGAAACATAGGATTTAGGATGCTGGCTATTTGCATTCGTTTTCCACTTGGCTTATTAGGCTGAAATCTGAATTATGGGAGGAACGAATCTTATGATTGATTATTGGAGAGAGTAAAAATGCATGCTTGGAATTAAAATATAAATTTATATTTAATTTATTATTAATATATAAAATTTATATATTATTAATAAATAAAATAATATTATTTTATTAATAAAATTAATTAAATGATATTATCTTATTAATGAATAAATTTTTTAAAAAAATATTAATTTTTATTCGTTAATGAAAGTAATGAAATATATCATCTGATTTATTAATAATATATAAAATTTATATATTAATAATATATTAAATATAAACTCTTAAAATATATTTAGTGCCGACCCATTTTCAAAGACATAACCCATGAGAAATTGAAACCTTTTGTCATGTCTTTGCTTCTTGTTTTGAGGAAGTCCATGGATGGGAAAGTTATTACTAAACGGTTGGTCAAAAGTGATTCATATTGGATGGTGCCAATAGTATTTTGGTCTATAAAATATGGTTATTTACTTAATTTGGTGTATAAAGTATGATCAAAGGCATTGTCTAGTTCTTTTGGGCCAATGAGGTATTATCTACTTCATTGCATGGAAATTGCTCGATTCCACTTGACAAGTTTACCCGAAATCTAGAGTCTTCTTCGTTACACCGGCATGTTTGAAATGGATCGGAAACATGACTCTGTATTTTAAGAAAGCGAACATTAAAATTACTCAAATAAACACCATAGTTAGCTTGAGATTTGTTAATTGAAGTTAATTGCTTGGATTATATCTTCTGACCAGAGCCTCGAGGTCTATCGAGATCGATTTGAATGAGCTATGTAAACAAATTAAATATGACCGATAAAAAAATTTATTTTAAATGCATATATTCAGAAAAATTATTGAATAAAAAATAAATATATATTTAAATCTTAATTTTTTTAAATTTTTTTCTCTCTTTGTTTCATAATCTCAAATATTGAACTCTCTAACTTTAGAAACAAGTTTCTCTTTTTTATACTTCTATTTATATATATAAAAGAAATTGTTTTCTTTTTATAGCATATAAATGTGGGCATATGAAAAATAAATAAAGAGAACTTTCAGCCCATTGGGTTGGGCTTTAACTTGAATCTCATGCACTTCTTTGATCCTTTCATAGGATTGGGCTTTAGCTTGAAGCCCATGATATCATATATTCACTAGCTTAACCAAGAATCATTAGGCTTAATGATCCCGTGATGTTATACATGCACTCACCGGGACTTTCGATCGGAAAGTGGAAGCTTATGGGTCAAGTTTGGAAAAAAAAATCTTGAATCTGCCACCTAACATGTACTATCAAATTTCAAGAATGGAATGGACCAAACCAAATGAATGGATAAGGTTCTCAAGATTTTTTTTTATCCAAAGGGTAGTTGATATTTTGATCCAACTTTCCGTACAAAAATCAAAGCGGTAATAATATCAAGCAATCATTAAGCAGACACCCAAAAGAAAATATCTCCCATTGCCAATAAAACGCTAGCCATCTGTTGAAAAGAAGTAAGAGGTAAACAGGGTTTGGAAGTAAAGAGAAGAAAAAATGGAGTGCTGTGGGAGGCCTAACAGGAGTGATGTGCATTTATCAGTGGAAGAAGAGGCCAAATTGGAGGAGAGAACGAGGGAATACTTTGACGAAAAAGCACCTAAACGTCACACTAAGCCTCAACGAAGCGAGTATTATTCCAAGTACGATGATGCTCTCGCCGACGGTAACAACAACGACTCCACTATACCAGAATACGTTGAGTTCCAACGTCTGGAAAATGATCCCGAGGTTAGTTTAAAAGAAATTATACATACAAAAGATAAAATTATATGCGTTTGCCGGGAGTCGAACCCGGGTCTATTGCTTGGAAGGCAATTATCCTAACCGTTGGACTACAAACGCTGTTTTTGAAACCTGTTTTTCTTTTTATCTTGACAGGTCTAAAGCATTTTTAGTATATGATTTGTGTATTAGGTGGTAATACTTGGATTTATTATATTGTGGTTCCATCGATTTATGTCATGCTAGTTTGGTACTATAGTTCTTTTTTTTTTTTTTTTTCTCCCAGTTATCTGATTTTCTTTTTCCATTAAAATTTGAAACCAGAAAATAGTTTACAATGGAAATGAAATGAGAGAGGAATATGTGGAGACTGAGTATTATAAGGATCTCAATTGCGTTGACAAGCAGCACCACACGGTACAGAGAGATCTTCCAGGAAATTTTCTTGTTATTATTCTCTTCAATTATAATGATAAAGAAAATAATTTTGATTGGCAATGGTGTGGGTTTCCATTCCAGACAGGAACAGGGTTCATCAAGGTGGAGAACGCCAATGGAAGAAGCTTCAGCCTGGAACCAGATTCAGATACCAGCTGCCATGCCTCCTGCAAGGGAAATCCAGCAACAAACGACTGGATTCCAGCTGCTTCGGATGCGGTAAACCAACAAATCTGGGTTCATTTCATTAGCATTTAAGTAACAGGATGTAGTTTTGATTGGCCTACATTGTTTACACTATCTCTTTTGATTTCCAGGCTTATTTTGGTTCAGACAAGCCTAACAGGAGTGACCATTGAATTTGAAGAACCAGCTGTATTGTTTAGTTGTCCTTGTCACTTTTCACGTGTTCCTAAATTGTAATGTTGAGAATAATTTCAGAACAAATATTATGCCATTCCTGCGTAAATTATTAGTTATTTGAAATTAGGATTTCACCACTCTATTAATCAAAAGTTTTAATTTTTTTTAATAAAAGGATCGAGAATAAAAAAAAAATTTAAAATTTAATATTGTCGAAGGTAAAAAAAAAAAAAATCAGATTCGTTGAAGCGTATGTATGATTCAATTAAACTTTAAATTTTTTCAAAAGCTTTAATTTGAATAATCAAGCAGCTTTTTTCATAAAATAATAATATTAATAATAATGAAATCAGCAATAATTTAACTTCAAATAATCAAGATTCCACTAATTATGTTTAAAGCACTTTTTATTGATAATATTAATAATAATGGAATTAGCAAAAGTTTAATTGCAAATAATCAAGATTCCACTAATTATGATTAAAGCGTTAGTTATTGTGCACATTAAACAAAGCCCAAATTTATGGTGGACGCGAGATATTGATCATAAAGTAATGATGCATAGAGAACTTTTGACAAAAATCTCTTGTTGTGGTAAAAAAAAAAATCGAAAAAATGGTTAGTTTAAGTGATAACAAATTTTATTTTTTTTATTATTTGGATTTGAATCAATTTAGAGACTTTGAGAGAATAATTTATCATAAATATAATATAAATAACCTATTTGAATCGGTCCAAAAAATAAATGTATTAGAGAAAAATTATTACCTTTTATCATTAAAAAAAACTCCAAATTTTAAAAAATACAGGGCTTAGGCCCAAAAAACTCAATGCAGGGCTCAAGCCGGGTTTGGCCTGTTGAGTGGTAATCACTTTCAAGTCAAACCCAGAAGAGAGAGAGGAGAAAAAAAAAAAAAAAGGAAAAAAATCCATTTCAGCTTTTTCAGTTCTTGGATCTTTCATCATTTTTCTCTTCATCTTCAACACCGTTTGACGGAAATCTCGAAACCAGGGGGTTTTAGATTGACTTTAATTTAGGGTACAATTACTCCCCTCTTTTTTTTTTTTTTTTAAATTTTATTCTATTGCTTATAAGATTTTGATAATCCACCTTTTTTTTTTTTAATCTCTTACACTTTACTTTTCATTCGAATTTAAAAGAAACAGAGAGATAAATTCTTCAAGGCTTTTACAAAAATGGCGCATAGATTATTAAGAGATCACGACGCAGATGGGTGGGAGCGCTCTGATTTCCCTATTATTTGCGAGTCATGTCTTGGTGACAACCCTTATGTTCGAATGGTAACTACATTATTCTACATTTAAATTTCAAAATTTTCGTTCTTTTTTTTTTTTTTAAATCAATGCTGAAATTTACCTTTACATTTTGCACAGACTCGAGCTGATTATGATAAGGAATGCAAGATTTGTACACGGCCATTCACCGTTTTTAGATGGAGGCCTGGCCGCGATGCTAGGTATAAGAAAACTGAGATTTGTCAAACGTGTAGTAAGTTGAAAAACGTTTGTCAAGTTTGCCTTTTGGACCTCGAATATGGGTTACCGGTTCAAGTTCGCGATACTGCTCTTAGTATAAGTTCCCATGATGCCATTCCAAGGAGTGATGTTAATAGAGAGTATTTTGCTGAGGAGCATGACCGTAGGGTATGTTTGTTTGCGCTTGATGATTAATAGCTCTGATTTTGTTATTGCTTTATGAAGTAACTAAAGTTATTTGAACTTTAAATTAGAACTGTTTTCTTTTATGCTGTGAATTGCCATCGGACTAATTGAAGGATAGGTTGTAACATTTCTTAAATGATGTGCATGTTGCCTGTTAGTAGCATTGCCACTTAATCATCGGTGTAATATGTTGCTCTTGCAAAGTTGTTCGTCTTCTGTACGAGCTTGGATTTCTTGTCTAGATCAATTGGCTTTGTTATGTGTTAGCTATGTGTCTAGTGCTTTTATAGATCAAGGGATAATGGTAACTGTCTTGTGTTTTATGACTTTTATATGTGTAAATTAATGATATGTGTTGCCATTCTTTCATGGGATCACATCTTTTTGAAGAGTGAAATTGTTTAATGATGTGTTGATTTTGATATCGGTACTTCATTGAAAAAGAGAGTCTGATGTGTTTGTTTGTCAAATACCATGCCTACCCCATCTCTTCAATTAATTCCTGCGTACTGGTATAAAATCTCCTCTTTCTCTTGCATCTCCTATATGTTTTGATCTTCCCGTTGTTTCTGTTTCAAATAGTTTCTTTTGGTAGGAGTGGTGGTTTATGAAATGGTGCTAATTGATTTATGTAGTAATGATGAATTCATTTTTCTTGGTTGGATAGCCCACCTACAAGGTTAGAGTGAGAGTTTAAGTTTGGTTTGGACAATATTAGGATTTGTTATGGATTTGTGGTACTTGTAATGAGACCCTACTCTGGATTATGTAAGAGCTGCTGTCATGTTTCTTGAATTTTGAATGCGAGTATGGTTTCATGCTGTTTGATTGCTTTCTGGCAGGGTATTTAGCTTCTTTCTCCTTTTGAGGTTGATTTACTTGACATATTCAGCTTTTAGAATAATCTTCTGCATACATCATCTGGTTGTAAACTAAAACCATACCAAGTATTTGAATAAATTCTAGGTTTTAGTTTTTGTTAAACCCCACAACTGAGGACTCTGTACTTCACTATTTCTCCTTTTACCCCTCCACCCACCCATTCCCTCAATTTATATTTGTATAAACCTTTTAGCCCATTCAATTGTCTATCTTGAATTAAATATCTCATTGATGTAGCATCAATGAGATGGGCATTGAAGGTTTAAGGTGTATATAACTTATGTGTTCTATTTGATTGCCATAATTACCTCTATCTTATTTTTCTTCATTTAACCTCCTTGCATTATACCTAAAATAATACATGGACTGCAGGCCAGAGCTGGTTTTGATTATGAATCCTCTTATGGAAAAGTACGACCAAGTGACACAATCCTGAAGCTGCAAAGAACAACACCTTATTATAAAAGAAACCGAGCACATATTTGCAGTTTCTATGTGCGGGGTGAATGCATAAGAGGTGCTGAGTGCCCTTATAGGCATGAGATGCCTGAAACTGGGGAGTTGTCACAGCAAAATATAAAAGATCGTTACTATGGGTAAGTCCAATTCTTGATGATATATATATTTTGCTGGTCTGTGCATTAATGGTGTTCACCGTGCATTGGCTGTAGGCAGAGTCTGGTACTTAACTAAGCAATAGGCATTGCTCATATACGGCTGATGCTGACTATTATCTATTGTACTGGCCAAAAAAAAAGAAAAAAGAAAAAGACTTATCTATTGCTGGTGCCTTTTGCTTAGTTAATGTGTCGCCAATGACATTCTTCATTTAGTTTTGTACTTTTGTACATGAGATAATTGGTTTAATTATAGTGCTTTTCGTAAAATAAACTGATAATCCCATCGACCTCTTTTCCTTCTTGTGCTTATATAAACTTCAGCACTTGGTCAATATTCTTATAAATGTTCTTGGTGATTGCTGTAGCATGAAAACAAACTTAAATTGTCATTTAACAGATGTATGCCAACCACTGAGCAATCTAAAAACTCGCGCTTGGCATGCGTGATTCGTTTGGAGCTTGTTATTAACCCATTGCCTTGCTTTTTTTCTTAACTCTAAATATCTTAGGGTGAATGATCCGGTGGCACTAAAGCTGCTCAACAAGGCTGGCGAGATGCCTTCTTTGGAACCTCCTGAGGATGAAAGCATAAGAACCCTCTATGTGGGTGGACTTGATAAAAGGGTCACTGAGCAGGATTTAAGGGACAACTTCTATGCCCATGGTGAAATTGAGTCCATAAAGATGGTGCTTGACAAAGCATGTGCTTTTGTAACCTACACAACCAGAGAAGGTGCCGAGAAGGCTGCAGAAGAGCTCTCTAATAAACTGGTTATAAAGGGTCTGAGGCTGAAGCTTATGTGGGGTAAACCACAGGCACCTAAACCTGAGTCAGAAACCTCTGAGGGAGCAAGGCAGCAGGCAGCTGTAGCTCATAGTGGAATGTTACCAAGAGCAGTTATATCTCAGCAACAGAACCAGTTTCAACCATCTGGCAGTCAGGACCAGCCGCCACCAATGCACTACTTCAATATCCCACCCCCACCTCAGCAAGAGAGAACCTTCTACCCATCAATGGATCCTCAAAGAATGGGTGCACTTGTTCCATCCCAAGATGGGGAAAACAAAACTGGACCAGAAAAACCACAAGAAGGCCAGCGTTATACTTATCAGGCCATGCCACCACCACTACATGGGCAGTATCCTCATCAGCTTTATCCGTCATATGGGTATATGCCACCAATGCCACCTTACCAACATTATCCTCCATATCATTCTGCAATGCCACCACCTTCTCAGGCCCCACCGACAGCCCAACTGTATCAACAATCTGGGACACCAATGCCTCCTGCCATTGTGAATGCACCCCCTGCGAGTAGACCATCAGTATCCACTCCATCTGGCTCTGCACCTTCAGGTGCACCCTTGGCTTCAGCTGCATCTGGGTCAACCCTGCAGTAAAGGTTCACCTTATTGCTGTCTGGTCTTTTAATGTCTCTATCCAGTTTAGCTTCAAGCTGATCTTGCATGTGTACTCAGATCATGCCTCATCGTTTGGTTAGACTAGCATTCTACATGCCTTAGGTTGTAGGTCATACTAAGGCCTAGATCCTAATAGATGTTGCTAGTGTGGAGTGTTCCACAGTTTCATTGATTCGCTTCCTTGTATTATTTTATTTACGGGCTTGTGGATTGCCTTTATCCTTTTTAATTTGGTACAAGGATTGCCTTCATCAATATTGGGAATAGTGGATTGAAACGTGATAAAATTCTAAGACACATCTGAAAATAAACCTTTTACTTCTATAAAGCTCAATTTTTGGGAATAATATTAATGATTTTTATTATGGATGTATGCGAATAGAAAATATAAACTGATTTTGTCACATATGTAATTTGTTCCTTGAAACGTGTTTTGCAATCATTTATTAAGTTTAATCAAACAAAAATTAAATTTATTTTAAGAATTATTCATTAAATATTTTGTTTATTATACTTTTGGATAGAGATGAATCAATGAATATTTTTATGTTTGTAATTTTTTTGTTTAATTAATAAATCTTAAAATATTATTTATGATTATTTGTTAAATTTAATAACTAATATAAATAAAAAAAAATTAAACATGATGGTCGATTTTCTGTTTATTTACACTTCTAATTTTTATTTTTTGCAGACATTGTTTGTGGGCTGATACCAAATTCGCATTCATGGGCCAGCTTGCAGCTTAAAAAATGAAGAAGTTATGGATCTCCACTGTAATTTGGCCCTATACAATTGGTATCTGTAAAGGATCCGATTTACGAAGGTAATTTTCCAATCACAACAAATCCATTTTTCCATTAACCAGTAAATATCAAATACGTGTCGTCCCATTACTGGCCATTTTTTTATCCTTTCATAATAACACCACAATCTATGGCGGAAAGTCTAACTTAGTTTCTGTCCGTTGGATTCTCCGAAGTCCATCACGTTTCTATTCACAACTCGCCACGTCAATTATCAATTCCTTTTTTGTCACTTCATTCCTTGTTAACTCATCTTTCCCTTCATGTATCCTCCCCTTTACCAAATCCCCACGTTCGCCACACGCGTCACGCTTTGATTGCCTCAACTCAAACCTAAAAGCGCCGAAACAGAGAAGGATCCTATTGGAATGACAAAAAAGCCCACGGGCACGGACCTGAATGGGAAGAATTCAGCCGAAATTTAATGCACTCTTCACGTCCGCATCTCCAGAAACTTCCGTCAGACGCCCTTTACTATAAATAAAACTAAAATCTTTTTGACCTATCAAAACTAAACAAAACAAATCTTAGCTATAAAGAAAGAGAGACGAAAGAGATCTCAGCAACTCGATCTTCAGCGTTTTACTGTTCATTCGTTCAAAGGTGAGTTATAGATTTTAATTGATTTATCTCCTTGAATTTCAATTAAATTCTATATATTGTTTCCTAAATCGATCTGTCATTCTCAGTAGGAGATTAATTAAAAAAACAATAAATTAGTACTCCGGATTTGAATTTTGTTCGATTAATTCGAATTTGGCTTGGTTTTATGATGCGTAATAGGTCTAGCCTTAAATTTAAATCTTCTATCTTAGTTGCTAATATATGAGAGTTTATTTGAATCTTGTTTTCTCAAATAACAAAGTTAAAAAAAAAAAAAACAAGTATTTATATGTTTAATAAAATAAGCAGCAACAATTGGTTAGTTTGTCATTTGTCGATATAATTAAAAGACGTAATTACGTAAATGAATATGTAGTTTTCAATTTAATTTTTAAGGAAATCGTGGGTCTTGAATTTCTAATCAATTGGCTATATAAATATTAAATTGAAGATTTAATTGTGAACAGTTGTTTCGGAATATGATGGATAGTTGTTCTTTTGAGTTAAGAAAATGGTTTTCTTCTTTAGTCACTGGAAATACTTTTAAATATGAATAAATTGTGTATTAAGATTATATAGGAGAGGCTGTTATTAAAGATTGCTGTTTAGGAATTAGGTACTGAACTGTATGTTATATTCTTTTTGCCAGATGTCGTACTCGAGGAGTTCAATGTATTCTCGTTCTCCTTCCCCGTACAAGCGATACGGCAGGTCTGTCTCAAGATCTTTGTCCAGGTCAAGGAGTCGGTCAAGGTATTGTGTATTCTTCCAGTTCTGCCTTTCTGCTGCTTATTGTGTTTTTGTGTCTTAAAATTTTGATATGTGGTTCCCTGTTGAATTTTTTATTGGTAGGAGTGCTGAAAGCGATGTTGAAAATCCTGGGAACAATTTGTATGTGACAGGCTTGTCACCTCGGATCACCAAGAGAGAGTTGGAGAAGCATTTTGCAAGTGAGGGAAATGTATGGATGAGTATGACTTTAATTAGGTGTAATGTTAAGTTCGAACTTCATGGTTTTTGGCTACCAAAAAGAAGTTCATTTTTCATTCACAAGTGTTATATCAATCAACCATTTTCATATGGTCAAGTGATATCTATATTTGCTTTCTGAGTGCTTACAATGAGAAAGTTGATGTATAGGTGATTGATGTTCATCTTGTGGTCGATCCATGGACAAGGGAATCTCGTGGCTTTGGGTTTGTTACAATGGCGACCAACCAAGAAGCTGAAAGCTGCATTAAAAATTTGAACCGCTCTGTTCTTGAAGGACGTGTCATCACAGTCGAGAAGGTAAAAGACTCAGAATTCATTTTCATGTTATCGGTGGCTGCTTTGATAGTTTTTAGTATTTGTTCCTTGCTTAAAATTGCATAAGAATTATGGATGGTCAGTTCTATGACTTTGAAAGTTGTTTGCTTCTTTCCACTTGAAGTTTTTGTGCCAGCAGGTTAGCTGTGTGTAGCAGCTCTTCACCAAACTCCAAAAGTCTTACAACTAACCAAACAAATCAAACACAACAACAAGAATCAGACTGTTAGGGTTGTATGCCCTGAATTTCTCTCTTTATTTAGCTGTTATGTATCTTGCTTTGTCATTTGTTCTGCACGGTGATTTAAATTTATCATAACTATTTGGGGAAAAAGAACAAGAAAAAATAAAACAGCTATTCTCTCTCCCAACATGTCTTATTTCTGGATTCCTTGGTAATTTTACAATCTCATGATTCGAGTTTTGTTTACTGTAGGCTAAGAGGCGGAGGGGGAGAACCCCTACTCCAGGAAGGTATTTGGGTTTGAGATCCGTTCGTGGTATGACTCCTTTCTATCAGTTTTGTAATTGATAAATGTCTGAGTTGTCTGGATTACCTTTAATATTTTCGAGCCAACTAGCTTATGTCTTATAATTTTCTCTGCATGAAGTGCCTCGTCGATCACCAAGCTACTCACCTCGTAGATCTCCAAGCTATACTTCTTATCCAAGGAGCCGGAGTCAGTCGCCTCGTTATTCATCTGATAGGAGTAGGAGCAGATCTTACTCCCCTCGGCATAGGTCATACTCACGTTCTCACACCCCTGGCAGATCACCAAGTGACCGCTACTATAGGAGGCGTGACCACTCCTACTCTCCTGATGATCGATACTACAGAAGGCATGATAGGTTCTACTCGCCAGATGGCCGATACTACCACGGGCGGGACCGTTCCTACTCACCTGATGATAGATACTACAGAAGGTGGGAACGTTCATACTCACCAGAAGATCATTGCAGTAGGAGGCGTGACAGGCCCTATTCTCCATATGACTCTAGGTATGATTCAGGGGATGATCAACACTATAGAAGTCACCGTTACCGTTCTGTTTCTCGAAGCCCCATGTCACCTCGGTCAAGGAGAGTTTCTCGGAGGAGCTACTCACGAAGTGTCAGCCCTAAGCGAAAGACCAGCACAAAGAGGAGTTACTCACGCAGCACTTCCCCTGTAGAGAGGAGGTCAAGGAGGAGCTACTCACGAAGCATTTCTCCAACACCTAGGAGAAGGTCCAGGGAGGAAGGGTCTCATGATAGCTGCTCTAGAAGTAGAAGTGCAAGTCCGATTTCCAGATCTGTTTCAAGATCAGTTACTCCTAGGTCTGATTCTGCATCCTGAAGGATAGGGAAGGATCTCTATGCTGCTCCGGTTCTTCGCGAACCTTAATGTATATTTAACGAATGCCCTATGCTGTCTTGTAGTTTCAAGTGAACTTGACCTCTATAATAATTGGCTTTGTTTGCTATGCGGATTGTTTATGATACTGGTTCATCTTGAGAACTCATTAATTAAATATTACTAGGAGTTTGGTCAACCTCTTTACGGTCTGATTTAATGAGTTGCCTCCCAAATGTTTACCTGTTTGGCTCGAAAACTGAAGGCTTCTCGGGTAGAATTTCGTGTATGCAAAAGAGCAAGGAAAAATTCTACGAACAACCGAGCTGATGTCCCATGCAAATGATTGAAGCATCAGCCCGTGTCGAGCTTAAGCTTAATATCCATGTGGTCTTAGGCTGAAACTTTGGTTTAGAGCTTTCACACGGCCCGTGACACTTACATGTAGTAGTTTTCATGGAGTCAAGTGAATCCCAAAGGTGGTATGAGCCTACATGTAGCAGTTTCCATTGAGTCAAGTCAATCCCAAAAGTAATTATTATATGGTTAGTATTACTTAAGCTTAAAAGTTGATTTTAAGGATAATACCTTCCCAAAAAAAGTAGTGTATTCCTCTTAAATTATGCTGTATAAACTTTTCTTTTACAATGATTATAGGATTTTTGAAAGTTATAATAAAAATTTTTTTTGTTAGAGATTGAATTTTAATAGTTAAAATTAAAAATTTAGCACTTCAATAGATCATATAATTGTTGACATAAGTGTTTTCAACTTGAATAAGATTGGTGCCACAAGCGAACCTAAACTACAACTTCAAACTTTGTTGAATGACAACAAAAAAAAAAAAAAAAAGGAAAAGAACAAAGAAAGAAAGACGGAAAAATAGCATTCTGTAACCAAAATACAGATAGATTGCTATTGGGTTCGTTTAAACAAACAACAGTAAAAGCTAAGCGCAACAGAGTCTAGTTTATCACATGTATGGTGAAAATCAAGAAGCAGGGCTTCTGGCTTATTGTTGTCTGCTAAAGACAAATGATTTTGGGAATGTGAATCCTATTTTTCTTTCTCCTTATATGCTTAGCTTTCAATATTACGTAAACCTGAACAGTGGGACTGGTAGGAACTACGGCACGCGGCATTCCTCTATGTTCCAGATTTCCTTGGCATACTGAGCAATGGTTCGATCGCTGCTGAACTTGCCACAGCCAGCAGTGCTTAGTATAGACATCTTTAGCCACCTCTTACGATCCCTGAAGATGTGATATATGATACACATATCATTTCCAGTAACATGATATTAAAGGTCATTTAAATTAAGAACATTCTGATTTAAAAAGGTTTAAAAAGATCACCAAAATCTTACTTGTAAGCTTCATCTACTCGTGCTTGAGCATCCATGTAACTTGGGAAGTCATGACCAACAAGGAAATAATCACCTCGACCATAACCTGAGTTACCCTCTAGAGAGTCAAGAAGTGGGTAGTAGTCATAACATCCAAATGCTCCACTTCTTATGTATTGCTTGGCCTCTTCAACCCGAGGATCAGGTTTGAACTGTTGGATAGGTAAAAAAAATAATATCAGACAAGGGTAAAATAATGCAATTACTAGATCACAGTAGAAGTTGCTCTTAAATAATTAACAAGACCAGCCATAATAGTTTTAGGCAAAATAATATTGTTTAATGCTCATTTGAGGCGGTTAATTTCAACTAAAAGGGCTGAAAAGTTCACAATTTTGCAAGCAGCTTTATTTTTGATAGTTGCAATACCGAACATACTGACATAATACCATGAAGCTATGCATATTTTTGGCAAGCTGATTTTGAAATGTGTTTGGTGTGCATGTATCTCAAATGATTGGACTACATTGCGATCTTCTGCAATTTTTGGCTTCACATATGAAAAATATATGGATAGATATATAAATCAAATTCTTACCAATCCATCTTCTCTTTCTTTGCGCAACCTAGGGACTTCATCTGCTCTTGCACCAAAAAGAAAGAAATTCTCCTCTCCTATATCCTCTCTGATTTCCACATTAGCCCCATCTAGTGTTCCTATTATGAGGCAGCCATTCAATGCAAATTTCATGTTGCTTGTCCCACTAGCCTCCATGCCTGCAGTACTAATATGCTGGGAAAGCTCACTTCCTGGGATAAGCATTTCAGCTACAGATACATTATAGTTTGGAACAAATACCACCTGAAAATTTTCCATTAGTAGAAGAATGAAAGAATGATGAGTACAGAACATACTATTTTGTAGCAAGAATCCAACATTATTGGAATAAATGAAGGAGAGATCAAAACATGTACCAAATGTTCTGTGCAGTGGTAACAGTTTATAATTTCGTTTTTAAATCAATTGGATAAAGATTTATGATTCCCTATTTTAAGTACAAGCAGACAACAGCATATGGGGAATGAAGCAGCCTACATGCTTTTTCTTTTTTTAGTGAAAATTATATCCTACATACTTCAAACGGTAATGAAGTTTAATCGCTTGTCAACCCTTGTTGAAGCCTTAGTTTTAAAGAATCATGTTCCCAATTTGTCAATTTCTATTGCATCCATGCAGCAATTTTATCACCAGATATGTCTGAGTTTTCTACTTTTCTTGTGTGCAACTTTCCATTTCCATTTTCAGCCAATTATGTCAATTGCCCTTGTTGCATTGCTAAATAATGTCTTCAGAGTTCCACAGATATGATACAACTGCTTGATGTAGGAAAAAAGGATTTCTGATTGAAAAAAAAAAAAAAAGGGTACAAAGGACTTCGAAAGATAGAGAAATACATGTTACATCCATGGACAATAAAAGATCTCAACGAGTTGATCGAAGAGTGAAAAATAATTAATTTACCTTCAAATAACTATTGACTTCAGGATCATTGTTGACTACTGCACCAACATCATTCACCAATTTGACTATTCTTTTAGCATTTGTATATGTAGCAAATGCTTTCCCTCCAATCATAACAGTGCGGGGAGTTGTGTTCTTTCGCCGCTGAGGATTCATCTCCTACCATAAATTAGTTTCAGGAAAGTTAAGAAATTTCAGTGAATAAATCTTGCCACATCAAAATGTAAAGTTTAAATTAAGGTAGCTTTTTATAGACATTATTTGATAATTGACTTTGAGTTGACATAAAAAATTAAGAACCAAAAACTCAAATATCTAAATCAATGTGATGAATGAAAACTGACGTATATCACAGCTTGATTACATCGAGGATACAATTAGTTTGGCATTCTTATGTTTTATCTTAAGTTGTTTTAACACCATAATTTGATTAATAGTGATGAACAGTGAATGTTATACATATGGAGACAGCAATCAGATTGAAAAATTATGCACACACACAATAGCAACAGAACTTGTAATGTAGATACAAGAATGATGATGACTTTCGAATTCAGATGAACACAATATATACTACATTGGCTCAAATGCCAGTAAATGAAATTTCATTAAGCAAACAAAATGCCAAGATCAACCAGTATGCTTTGATACCTTTAACTTCTTGTACCTATAGATTGCACCCAAAATATTCAGCAGTTGTCTCTTGTATTCATGGATACGCTTGACTTGTATGTCAAATAAACTATTTGGGTCAATGCTTACTCCTGTTACACGCAATATGTACTGTGCTAAACGTTGTTTATTAGCCATCTTAGCGGATGCCCATTCATTTTGAAAATCCGCATTATCGGCAAACTGTTGGAGAAGCATAAGTTCATAAGCAGCATTATTGCAATTATAGGAACAGGTTTACAAAAAAAAAAAAGAAGAAAGAATTCATACTCCAGAGAATCATTCGGATACATACATTTCGAAGACCGGAAAGCAGGTCAAGGTTGGTCACCCATTGGTCAGTTTCTAACCACTTGGTGATTATGTTACTGAGCTCTGGACTGCAAAACCGAAGCCATCGACGAGGAGTAATGCCATTCGTCTTGTTTTGGAACTTGGTGGGCCATATAGAGACATAATCTGCAAATAACTCAGCCTTTAAGATATCACTGTGCAGCTGGGCTACACCATTCACCTGAAAGGAGGTCAGCAACATAAAGTTACTTTGAGGATCATGCAAAAATTTGCTAAACTGCTCAAAAGAAGTACTTTTGATTCATCAAAGAACAAAAAAATATTATATATTTTTTATGTTTCTCTTCTTTTTCATAAGGATAAAGATGACAAAAAAAACTAAAAAAACTTTAGGAAAAATGGATAAGTAACATGTGACAAAGCAAGATGTATGTTTGAACCATTAGGAGTTCAGTTCAATGACAGGTCTATTTTAAAAACCTTTCCTCAAAAGCATTTCAAGCCATTGCAGTGGCTGACAGTTTCACAAAAAACAGGACAAAGAAAAAAACATGTGTGTTGTGTGTGTATATGTCAGGGGTGTATTATTTCATCAGAATACAGTTGATGACTATTCATAGTTTTAATAAAAAATTTTATGAACCTTGGTGAATTTTTGGGAAGAACCTGGAGCTGAATTAATGATCTGAAAATAACTATTTACTTAAAAATGTTTTATTAGAATGGCTTACTTACCGTATGAGCAGATACCACACATAAGTTTGCCATCCTCACAACAGGCTTCTGGGGATTATGATCCAAGATGCGCATGCTAGCAAGTTTATGCTCAAGGTCAGGACAGGTGGCATTTATTATTGCAAGAAACTGCAAACACCTAAAATTTGATATTAGAATGCAGACTCAAACATATAGAAAGGAAAAGAAAAGTGAATTACCCTCTTGTCAATTTCTTCTATGATTTCCATGTGGCGAGGAAGAAGCTTCCACATTACAGGTTGTGACCACTTCTCAAGTGCTTCAGGAAGGACAGTGTGATTGGTATAAGCAATTGTCCTGTTCGGTTATTGACATTTAATTCTTGCTATGTCAACAAAATGTTGATCCCATCATGGCAATGTGTGCCAGAAAGCAAAAGAAGCTACTATAACACACTCTTAGAAAGTAGAACTAGGCACCTTGTCGTTACATCCCAAGCCTCATCCCACCCAAGTCCTTCATCATCCATTAGTAAGCGCATCAGCTCAGGAATTGCAAGCGTAGGATGAGTATCATTCAGTTGTACAGCAACTTTGCTGGGAAACTCAGACCATTGCCATGAGCCCTTTCCACTTCTTCGCTCCTTGAATCTGAGAATAATGTCCTATAA